AAGGAAGGAAGGAAGGAAGGAAGGAAGGAAGGAAGGAAGGAAGGAAGGAAGAAAAGGGAAGGGAAGGGAAGGGAAGGGAAGGGAAGGGAAGGGAAGGGAAGGGAAGGAAGATGAGAGTGGAAGGAAGATGAGAGTGGAAGGAAGGGAAGGGAAAAAGGAAGGAAGGGAGAAATATGAGAAAAGGAAGGAGGGAGGGAGGGAAGAAAGGAAGGATCTGTATTTGTCCATTGCCATCTGTAGGTAGTGTCCATTGTGCAAGGACCTAGATTTTGTGCATGAACAGAGAGGATCCCTGTTGAAAATAAATGCATTTATCTTTTCTTTTCTTTTCCAGTTGGCAAATGAGTTTGGAAGTCCATCTGCCTCTCCTTCAAGGTAAGAAACCTCCTGTTATCTCTCATTTTCATACTTGTGGAATCTCTTGTGTGCCCTGTTCTGGCATTATCTTGTGGATCTGTGCTTTAGAACACAGAATTCACCTTATGTGATTGGGTCCTAGTTCTGTAATTCTGGTTTTATGACTCACCACTGAAGTGCAAAAATGTATTTCCTAGGCAAAAAATAGAATGTGAAACTAATACGCCAGCACTACAGATCTAAGGCCAGCTTAAAACCTTTTGTCCTGAATGTGCTGGTTTTAGACTGTATCTGTAGGTTGGTTTTTAGTAGTTTTTATTATAATCAGTTAACTAATAAAAGCATTGAGAGGCTTTATAATGAGACAAAATTATGCTTGTGCAAAGTACCCAGAATACATAATCCACTTTTTTGTAATAGAGGTAGTCCTTGTCATATGACCACTAGTGGGATCTGAATTTCTAATGTTAAGCAAGGCAGTTGTTGAGTTGCTCCCAGTTTTACAACCTCTTTTGGCACGGTTGTTAAACAAATCACTACAATGATTACATGAATCAGGCAATCATTCACGTGACGGCCATTCAGGCAGTCATTAAGCGAGTTTGGCTTCCCCCATTGATTTTGCTTGTGGAAGCTGGCCAGGAAGGTCATAAATGGCAGTCACACAATCCTAGAATGCTGTTCCATCGTAAATGCATGCTGGTTGCCAAGTGCCCAAATTTAGACCATGTGATTGTAGAGATATAGCAGTGGTCATATGTGCAAGTACTGGCTTCAATGTTTTTGTAACTTTGAACAGTTGTTAAACAAACAGAACAAATAAACAAGTAGAAATAGCACTTATATACTGCTTCACAGTGCTTTGCAGCACTCTAAGTGGTATATTTACAGAGTATATTGCCCCCCCCCAACAATCTGGGTCCTCATTTTACTGACCGCGGAAGGATGGAAGGCTGAGTCAACCTTGAGCTGGTCAAGATTGAACTGCTAGCAGTTGGCAGTCAGAAGAATTAGCCTGCAATACTGCATTCTAACCGCTGTGCTACCATGCAGTGGTTAGTCTATAAAGCAAAGGATTTTTCAGGAAAGGGGGCTCAGCCAGGGAACTGCTTGCTGACAGAGGTTCTCCTGGCATCATTTTTCTTCACTGTTCCAGGGGTGGGGAATGATGGGCCTTTTATGACTTGTGGACTTCAACTCCCAGAATTCCTGAGCCAGTCATGCTGGATCAGGAATTCTGGGAGTTGAAGTCTATAAGTCATAAGGGGGCCATTATTCCCCGCCTCTGGAACTTTAGACATTAACCAGAGGCCTTATGATTCCTCTAGGCCAGTGGTTCTCAAATTTTTCTTCACACGGACCCCCTTTAAATACCTTTTGTGGCCACAGACCCCCAAGATTTAACTCAGGATTTAAATCATAACATTTCTTCAAGCTTCCACATAGCCCCTGTGACAACATTGCAGCCCCCCAGGGGTCTGTGGGCCACAGGTTGAGAACCACTGATCTAGGCCAGTTTTACTGGTCTTTTGACCGTCAAGCTGTTTAGTGCTTTACGTTTAAAACATTTATTTTTTTTAAAAAAAAAAATCTATGCTATGCAACAGTTCTAATGCTGGTGAATTGAAGAGAAAGCCAAATAAACAAACAAATAAAATGTGGGAAGCTTTACAGAAATCCCTTTGTCTGATATGATACAGGCTATTCTGCCCCATCCTCTGGCCTTTTGTTAATGATTTTGTTGCATTAATCTGTGTCTGCAGCAGCCTTTCCAAGACACATTGTCAGCTCCCAACACCTGCTGATTAGGAATGATGGGGGGTGGGGGGTGGAATTTAATCCATCTGGAAGCCACTAGTTTGGAGAAGGTTGACCTTAAGGACAGCAGTATTATCTTTTCAGCTTCAGAAAGCTCTCTGAAACCTGGGCCTACCCATCTCACTCTGCTTCTCTTCTTTCCCCTTGAAGGATCAATCCCTTTGCTCATGTTAAGCTGAAAGGTACGGTGACCAATGACCGCTCAGTCCCACTCATCCAGTGAAACGTGCAATGTTAAGTGGAGAGAGCCCACTGCCCTGCTTTTCTTCCTTCTTTGCCTCATCACGTGGCCTTTCCCACCTCATACGCTGCTTCTGGCTCATAGTAGGTTTTGCACACCAGGCTGGCCCAGGCGTGCCACTCTCCCTAATGGCATAGGAAAGGTCCACAGTCTCGACGCACAGCAAAAAAGGCTTCAGGGTTTCATTGGTATTAGCTGTTCCAGGATGGGAAGGCAAGCTAGCGGCAGGAGGACAGTAACAGCCAGAGAGGAGACAAGAGTTTGGATGCAAGTGATGGAGGCAGATGTGTAACAGTTGGATAAAGAGGCAGGAGAAGGGTGAAGGATGTGGGACAGGTGGAAAGAGGTCAGATGAAAAGGAGATCGGAAGAGAGCTGTGGATGGCATGTTACAGAACATTCAGATGAAGAGAAATTCAGCGAATGTGGGCCTCTGAAGGTGATTCGTGTTCCTTACAACTCAAAAGTTTCCACTGATCAGACTCTGTTTCTGTTTTGTTACCCACTTTGACTAAAATGCCACTGATTGGGTGGTATGTGCTCAGGAAGAAGGTAAGGTAGTCCTTGACTTACAATGATAATCGAGCCCAACATTTTTGTTGCTAAGTGAAACATTTCTCAAGTGAATTTTGCCCCATTTTACAACTTTTCATGCCATACCTCTGAAGTGAATCACTGCAGTTCTTAAGTTAGTAACCCGGTTGTTAAATGAATCTGGTTTTCCCATTGACTTTGCTTGTAATAAGGTCACAAAAGGTGACCCCGGGGCACTGCAACTGAGTCAGTTGCCAAACATCCAAATTTTGATCACATGACTATGGGGATGCTACAATGGTCATAAGTTTGAAAAATGGTCATAAGTCGTTTTTTTCAGTACCATTGTAACTTCGAATGGTCACTAAACAAACTGTTGTAAGTTGAGGACTGCCTGTATTTTGAAACCAGAATGAAGCTGTGTTTAAATGGACGACCTAAGGTTTTGTTTTGTTTTTTCATTCATCTGGTCTTAAGTGTATCTGTCTTTAGAGTCAGTTCTGCTCAGCCAGTTGAATAATTGAATGACTGCAGTTATCATCACCTGGGTCTATTCTCAAATCAACATCTCTTAGTGCTACACCACTGAAAAGATTAGTGTGGATTTTCTATTGGAAATCCACATGCAACATGTTTATTTATGACTTATGTAATGGTAAGTGTAGAAGTTTATTGCGGAATGGAAATTTCATATGACCCAGGTGATGATAACTGCAGTCATTCAGTTATCATCACCTGGGTCATATGAAATTTCCATTCCGCAATAAACTTCTACACTTACCATTACATAAGTCATAAATAAACATGTTGCATGTGGATTTCCAATAGAAAGTCCACACTAATCTTTTCAGTGGTGTAGCACTAAGAGATGTTGATTTGAGAATAGAAAGGACAGAGAAAACTGGTTTAGGAGAGTAAGAGAGAAGTGTAGGAAGAATTGTTAAATCTAGGAAAATCAAATTCAAATTTGATTCAAATTCAAACTTCTAATCTACACTGTCTGATATTTCATCATTGAGTTATTCAGCTACAGGTCCAGCTTACTTGGAAAATCACTTGGAAGTGATTATGAATTGGTTGTATTGAAAAGCATCAGATCTGAATAAGTATGAAAGGTCTTACTGTGGTGTTAGTTTTGTACTGGCCTCTTAAGGCATGGAAATCACCCATTTCTATTATACAATTATCATATGTTAAACATATAAATGTGAAACAGCTCTGGGGAGATGAGTGAACAGTTCCATTGAAGAAGTAAAATAGTGTTTCTCAACCTTAGCAACTCTTAAGACGTGTGGACTTCAACTCCTAGAATTCTCTGGCCAGCAAGTCTGGCTGGGGAATTCTGGGAGTTGAAGTCCGCATGTCTTAAAAGTTGCTAAGGTTGAGAAACAGTGATTAGTAGAAGATTGTAAGTTTTACAAAAACACTATTGATAATTGATGTGCTGTCTCTACATTCATTGCACAATTGTAGGCATAGCTTAAGTGTCTTAACAAGGCATGGATTGTGGATTTAAAAGGAGCCAGGATTTATGATTAACTGGGTTCTCTGAATCTGAAGTGGGTCTGTGGTCCACAAAGTGATCCATGCTGCTAGTAGGTTTTGATTCCTCTTCAAACAATTGTTGAGATATTTTCATGGGGGAAAAGCATATCTATATTATGAAAATGTTACCATTAAACATAGGCCACATATTTTGTAATTTACATTGTTTTCTGTAGATTTAACCAAAGGTTTACCTTACTATGATATGCAATGGTCTAAAACAGGGGTCTTCAAACTTGGCCCTTTTATGACTTGTGGACTTCAACTCCCAAATTCCTCAGCCAAGCATGCTGGCTGAGGAATTCTGGGAGTTGAAGTCCACAAGTCATAAAAGGGCCAAGTTTGAAGACCCCTGGTCTAAAAAAAATGTAGAGATTTCCCCCTGCTCCCCAGGAAACATGGGATAGGAAGAGAAATGCCAGAAGTCAGGACTTCTGTGCATGGAAGAAAGAAGTAGATTAAAGCAAGGCAGTTGCTGATTTTTTTAAAAAAAAATGTGTTTATTTAATTTCAATTGCCAGAAAGTATAATAAAGACAGTTATTCAGTAGTATTCTTGTCCTGGCAGACCAAACTGCAGGCATTTTGGTCAAAGCCAAAATAGAGTAATTCAGCTATATTGTCTGAAGAAAGAAATATTTTTCTCAGTGAGGAAAGGAAATGCCATCTCACTTTTCTTTTGCCCCTCACATTCCTCTCCGACTGACAAAGAACCCAGTCATTTAAAACTCCAAGTATGCCCACTTGCAGGCTTAGCTATGCTGTTACAGAATCCTGGACAGATTCGAGTAACATGCTTACTGATCCTGTTTTAATCTTGAATGCGGTTGCATAAATAAGCAACATCGGTCTTCTAAATAAATGCACAAGCTGTCCACCTTTGGTGAAACTCACAACTATATAGTAAAACTTTGGCTTTGGAGCAATTGCCATTTGTTAAAAAAAAACAAGGGCTGAAAAATATCAGAACACCTTAGTTATCGGAAAGAAAACAAGATTGATATTTTACCAATGAAAGAATACTCAAAGCTGCTTTTTTTTTCAAAAGGCAACTGGATTGTTTTTTCCTTGAAGAAAAATAGGACTTTTTCTTGAGGTAAAAGTAAAACGTTTCCTTCTTTTTCCTCAAAAAAAGACAATCCAGTTGCCTTTTGAAAAAGCACCTTTGATAAAACTATGACCTGGATGACTGAGAATCTCCACAGACATAATGAAAGAATAATTTCAGGTTTTGGAGGCACAAGGTTCATAGAGTTTTACAAAGCCATCTTCCACTTGTAGTTCACTTGAGTTTCATTATTTTTTCTAATTTGTAAAAAAAAATAAAACGAAGATGGCAAGGCAGACTAACTAGATGACTTGTTTTGAATTGCTAATTGCTAAATCCCTATAAATTCAGAATTGAACCATTCGGTTTTCTTCTGTGATCCTGTTTACGAACATTTGCTTTACTTTGCAGTACAGGTAGTCCTCAATTGAGCCCAAAATTTCTGTTGTTAAGTGAGACATTTGTTAAGCGAGTTTTGCCCCATTTTACAACCTTTCTTGCCACAGTTGTTAAGTGTATTACTGCAGTTGATAAGTGAGCAACCCGGTTGTTAAGTGAATTTGGCTTCCCCATTGACTTTGCTTGTCAAAAGGTTGCAAAAGGTGATCACATGACCTTGGGATACAGCAATGATCATAAGTATGAACCAGTTGCCAAGCATCTGAATTTTGATCCCATGGTCCTGTGAATGCTACAAAGGTTGTAACTGTGAAAAATGGTCATAAATCGCTTTTTTATGCCATTGTAACTTTGAACAGTCACTAAATGAACTGTTGTAAGTCTAGGATTACCTGTATTTAGGCCTCTTTCACATCAGAACTGTTGTTCTCCCTTTTCCAGCTAGCAGTACTTGACAGTGTTCAAACTTAGCTATAATAGAAATGAGAGATATATTGAAAGAACAGGTCAGCACTATCGGCTTCTGCTTTGTATGCCTGCCTAGCTTCGTCTAGTGCTTTTCTAACTATTGGCCAGGTGTTTTGTAGTTTTTCCATCCATTCTTTCAGTGATGGGATCGTTGGTTCATTTGGGGTTAATTCTGGCATGGGGTTGAAACTTTGACCGTTGGCTATTTGAAAAGGAGTGTAACCTGTGCTGGCGTGGACTGCATTATTGTAGGCAACTTCTGCGAAAGGGAGTAGGTCCATCCAATCGGACTG